GGAATGAAAGGAGCTGGACTAAGTAATTTTAAAAAGCAGCGTTTTGACTGGATACTGTAGGAGTAAAAAAAAATTATAGACACAAACACTGTACACTGGTTGGTAAATTTGTTTCTTACAGGGGCATGGGGTAGCAATGCTGAAACTACTTTATATGCAAACTAGGATTGAACAAATAAATTAATATGTGCTGTAAAATGTCAGCAAGGTTTCTCACTATTGGAGGAAGATGTTACAAATAAGGAAAGGGGGAAGGCTAGAACTGAACCCTGGTACTAAACTGGAGCCAGCAATATCAATGTAAACTCATATTTTAAGATATACAAAGAGATAGATACAGAAGTAAATATATGTGTGTAGGCAACTGTAAATACACACATTTCTTGGTTCTGTGCACTGAGAGGGACTACAAGCTTTGATAGCCTAGTAAGAGTGAGCTCACCTCGTGCTAGATCTTTGCTGCTAAACATCTCTGTGCATGAAGGGAACAGCGTTTCTTGGAGAAATGGTTGACTCCGGGGCTAGGGCAGGTAAAATACAAGATGAGCCTGGAATATTCCATGGCTCTGGAAAGTAGAAAAGTGCAAAAGGATAGAAGCTTGTCAAAAGAAAACAGGAGCCAACCTGAAGGAGCTCCTAATGGCTAAAGCAGGAACAATTTGAGAAACAAAATAAATCATGGTCATACTCAATTATAATCTGTGATGGTTAACTTTATATGTCAACTTGGCTGGGTCATAACGTCCAGATATTTGGTCAAACATTTTTCTGGATGTTTCTGTGAAGGTATTTTTTGGATGAGATGAACATTTAAATTGGTAGATTTTGAGTAAAGCAGATTATCTTCCATAATGTGGATGGGTCTCGTCCAACCAGTTGAAGGCTTGAACAGAGCAAAGACTGACCTCCCCTGAGCAAGAAGGAATTCTGCAAGCTGATGGACTTGGACTTGGACTACAACTATTTCCTGGGTCTCCAGCCTGTTGGCCTCTCCTGCAGATTTTGTACTTGTACTTTCACAACGGTGTGAGCCAATTCCTTGAGATAAATCTTTCTATATATATATGCACATGTAATAAATGGGTACAAAACAAATCTTTGTATATATGTATATGCTTCTTGTCGGTTCTGTCTCTCTGGAGAACCTTGACTAATATATAACACAAAGAATAAAACAAATATACATGAGTCCATACTGATATAAATAACTAAATAAATAAATGGAGGAGAAGGGAGAAGTATTCCTTACAAAAGAATTCCAATTAATAAATGAAGAAGGGATAAGAGAAATAGAAAATCACCATTAGAGCACCAGAGTAATAGTGTTGTGGGCAAGATCCATCCACGGATACTAAAAGAAATGGGTGAAAGAAGATATTTGTATATTTGTATAGACATTTGTATAGTCTCCCTCAAAGTATATATTTATTCAATACAAAGAAAGACTAGTAACCTTAGAGTGGAAGAAGCTGGCAGACACCACCTTAACCAAGTGATAAAGATTAGCATCTCCAGTAATGAGACATATTGATATCACATAGCCACTGATATGATGTAATGAGAAGGGCACATCATCTCCATGGAATTCTTCCACAAAACCTGTGACCTGTCTCACCATGAGAAAACACCAGACCAACTCAAATTGAGGGACATTCTGGGAAATACTTGACCAGTACTCCCCAAGAGTGTCAAGTTACTGAAAGATAAGGAGGAATCAAGGAAATGTCACAGATTGGAGGACACTGAGGAGGCAAAACAACCAAATGCAGTGTGGTACACTGGATAGAATCCTAGAATAGAAAAGGGTATCAGTAGAAACCTGGGGCAATCATTGTTAGTATTAGTTAATAGTATTGCAGCAGTGTTAATTTTTTAGTTTTGATTATTATAACACAGTTACATAAAAGATATTAATGTTAGGGGAAGTTGGGGAGAGGACGTAGGGAATTCTCTGTACTATCTTTCACCTTTTCTGAAAGTCTAAAATTATTTCAATATAAAATGCTGAAAACTTACTCTCATATTTACAGTCCATCAGATGCCTTTAATGGAGTTATATGAATCATATGTTAAAATTTAGTACATATGCTAGAAATTATATCATTTCAACTGTTTAAACATGTGATAACAAATTTTAGATTTCAACATAAAAATGTACAAGAGGTACAAAGTTTTCAAAATTCCTTTTGGAGGTATTTGAGCAAAATTCTTTGAAGTCTATTGGTTTAGGTGGCTTGTCTTAAGTCATTTTAGCTCGTCAAGCCCACTATTTCTTTACTTGGATGGTATGTTTGTTCGGGTAGCTTGGATTTGCTGTTAGAGATTATTTTGATGAGTTAATGCAATCCTAAACTACATCTGGGCCTGACTGCTGGGTCAGGCAGGTGAGGTGAATGAATGAAGCTGACCAGGAATAAGAATGACAACAGTGCAAGTACATTGAGTCATGGTGACCAGCACTACGCCTCAGTGTCTGGTGGACAATAGGGCCTGTACTGGAATGCATGCATTCCATCTAACCAGGGCAACTGCTGCTCAAGGCTTGGGGGGGTTCCAAAATTCTGAATTGTCAAGAGGAGCCAGAACTGTGTATATTATGTGAACTCTTCCAGACTTTAAATGACACGATGGAAAATAACTTAAAATATTTTAAAATACTGCTCAGGTCAAAAAAAACCACATCTGTTTGTCTTTGTCTTTTTTCCATCTAATTTGTGTTTTTGACCCCTATTCCTTTCCCTTTCCCATACCTCCCTCGGTGGCCCATGTAGAACTGAAATGTGGATATTTTTAATATTTGTGTAATCATTTTATATGCCCACGGTTCTTACCTTCAAGAGCAATTCCCAAAGGTAAAAATGCAATGAAACAAAACCAAACCATGGAAACTGGTTGAATTTTGATTGCAAATAATTGAATAATTTCATTCATTGATTTAAAAAAATTCAACATTCCTTTAATAATAACAATAGTAATAATAATGATAAAAGTTAATTGAGTGTTTTCTATGTGGGAAACACGATTCTGTGTGGTTTTATAGGGACCAAATCATTTAATTCTCAAAACAATTCTATGAGGTACTTCTATTATTAATTCATTCTATAGATGAGGAAACAGAGACTTCACAAGATTAAATTACTTACTAAGACCGTGGAGCTGTCTGTTTCTAGAGCCAGGCTCTTAATCATGACGCTGAATAAGACCAGAGTCCTAGAGGACAGAGCTGCCAGCTAAAATACAGAATGTCCAGTTAAATTTGAATATTTATTTACATATTTTTATTTGCTAAATCTGGCAAGTCTATGTTAGGGGTAATTCCTTGGCTTTATGTGCCCCAATTCATTTGGCAAAAGATAGAGAATGAAAGAGGACTTTCACTAAAACCAGAAAAATTATTTATATTATGCATCTGTTTCAATAAACTTTTTTCATCCTCCTCCCCATGCCTTTTCATTCTCAAAAGCTTTAAAGTACAGCAAAATAAAACTGAACAGAGCATGGTGAAATCCATTAATGGTGTTTTAGTTTCACTTTATCTGTCCTTATCTATGTGAATAATTTACACCATTATAATGATTATAGCAAGACAAACTGTATGTATTATACTCCGAGCAATTTACAAAGCCCCATTAGGGCAGCAGAAGGTATCTTGCTTCCTAATCTAGATTCCCTGACATCTTCTGTTAAGTGTCTTACATTTTTTAATAAATTTAGAAAATCTATGTGTTAGTGCTCCTGTTAACGAAGCAGCCAGGAAAGCCAACTCTTTAGGTCACGAGGGGTTTCTTCACATTTATGTGGAATTTACATCTTGCTCTTGGCAAGGCACCAAGGAAAACAAGACTGGGCTCCAAGTACAAGGGGAGACAAGCCTGGGTTCCAGGAGACACAGGGAGGGAATGAGAGTGTGTCGGATGAGGGCTGGGGAGGAGCAAAGAAAGCAGGGACATCTGGGAGACGTTCCTTGGGAAGGAGAAAGGCAGAGCCCTCTCCAACCCCTTCAATATACGCCAGGGAGCAGCTGTTTGAGTGGCGCTGTTGCTTGTGTTTGCCAGGCTGACTTGGATTCCAAGCTCTTTTCTCTTTCTGGTGTTAATTTTACTTGCCATGTCATAATTCTAATTTTTCTCCTCTCCCCTCTTTTTTTTTCCTTTGGAACTGATCACTTGTTCACTGCTTGTATCGCCAGGAGATTTCCCTGCAGTTATTGTGGGAGACAGTGATTGGGAAGGGAGGATGGGCACGGGATTTCACAACTTAGTCGTTTAACCAGAGTTCTGTGATATTTTTATCCTTAGCATAACTTATTCTGGCTACGGTATTTGGAAGCAAATGTCTCCATTTTTTTTTTAGGTTCAAGTTTCAAGTGAGACTATATAGAGCTTCCCCCTTGCAAGTCTCATAAGTAAACCAAAAGCATTTCCTATTGAATTTGAAAGCCAAAATGATTTGCTAAAGGGCCGATGCTAGGCAAAATTCAGAAGCTGAAAAAGTGATTGGGGCTCCCTTTTGCCCTCCCATGTAGTCACCCATTCTCATGGCGCTTCTCTGAACTCGAATACAAAGGCCTGATTTTCTGATCTACATTCTGTTTTTTCACCAAGGTACTCTATCCAGGTCTTCCCCTTTTTCTTTTATCTGTCAATTCATTTGTTCATTCAGTTGTTTATTAGTTCATTTTGCAGGTAATTATTGAGTATCTACCACATTCTTGGCTGTTCTAAGTGCTGAGGCACAGCACAGCAGCGAATAAAGCAATGTCCTTGGTTCCATGTGTGGAGGGGTAGGAGACAAAAAATGTATAAGTAATATAATGTCAATGTATATGTATATAATGTAAACATATAAGTACATGTGCATTTAAATATAAAAGCATAAACATATAATGTCAGTTAGAAATAAACACCATTAAGAAAAGTTAGTCAAGGTTAAAAGAGAGAAGCTCTGTTATTAACAGTGGTCAGGAAAGGTCTCTTTGATGAGGTGATATTTGAGCAGCAACTTATTTGAAGCAAATGAGTAAGCCAGGCTGTTATCTGAGAGTGGAGAGTTCTGGGCAGAGGAAACAGTAAGAGGCAAGACCTTGAGGTTGAAACAGCAAGAAAGCCAGCATCGGAGGAGGCGAGGTCCAAGTGGTAGCCAGGGGACAGTTTATTCAGGACCCTACAAAGACTTTGGGACCCTTTTGGTGTGAAAGAGGCCATTGGAGGGTTTTGGATGCAGGCAGACAACAAGGTGAGACTGATATTGGGTAACACTATTCAATACCACTTCCCAAACCCACCAAATTTTTTTATGCATCTGTGGCTTTGTGTACACTATTTCTTCTGCCCTCTAATGTTCTCCCTCAACCCACCTCTATGCCCCGTTGTATTTTGCACATACATCTGTTGTACCACTTTATAGTATGCTCTAATTATTTATTAGGAGACTACCTCTTTCAATTGTGAAGTTGCGGATAAGACCCTGGTGTCCTAATGCATTATCCACAGAAGTTAGAACAATACGTGTAGCCCATGTCTTATCAAACTGTTGATTAGATGACTAAATGACATTGTGTTTCAGCTTCTTGTTTCACTATGAAATTAAAACTCGTATTAGAAAGTCCCTTTACCTCTGAGGATTGGCTTAATGCTATACCACATGAACTTAGCTTTTGTTTATTTTTCTGGTAAACAGAGTTTAAAAGCTAGCTAGTGTCAATAGCATGTTTTATTATGTATTATTCTCTAAGGTAAAAAACCTTTTTCTTGAAACTATGTACAGTTCTTTTGATGGGCAATTTTTGCTTGTATTAATCCAGAGCTATTAAGATACAAGCTTGTTGCAATGGTATCATTCCTATCTCATTATTTTCTTCTTAAAACATGTCAGTGTGCCAGGTACTGTGTGTTAGTACTCAACCACAGCCCCTCTCTTCCATGCGTTCTTCCATTTCCAACAAGACTGGAAGCACTTTCCTACAATCCGTTGAGGGCTGGGTTTCGGATACATTTTGCCAGTAGGAGGAATGGAGGCAAAATTAGAATGCAGGAGGAAGGGAGGCATTCTTCAGCTTCTGACTCTGGTTCTTCAGGTTCCTCAGTGGTGGCCTTGGATCCAGCAGAGTTAACACAGGGATCCCAGGTGAAGGTAGCAGGGACAACTTCTCTGCTGTGGTGGCTGAGTCTCCAGCGGGGTCAGGGATGAGTCTAGGCTCCTGGCTCTGGCCTTGCGGTGGCAGCAGCTTCCTGGTCTTTGGGTAACATTCTTTCTTTTTTGCTCAGCTAGCCCTTCTAACACATTTATTACCAATTCCCTGGATTAAATCTCCCTTTGATGGAAATACCTAGGTATTTTATATACCTGAGAGGTATTTGTTTTCCTCATTCGCTACTGACTGGTAAGAAAAGGAGTAGACTGCATTTCTGCATTCATGTATATTGACCAAAACCTAGCCTGGAAGTCACATTCTTCTCCTTACTCTACTTTCTAAGTACATCCTTCTGTCTAGTGTCATTCAAAAGGATGCATTTTCAAGCTAAACAACATTCCTGCTATTTCCAGGAGGTTTTTTTTGCTTATAAGGGGACAAAATTTCCTCTTGCTCCACAGAGCCCAGCATGGTGCTGAGTTAGAATTACATGTCTTCATGATCAATACAGAAAGTTGGGGGCCTGAGAAAGAGTGGTGGTAACTTTGACTTTCCCTGCTTTAGTGTTATCTGTTGTGTATGGAAGGACAGAAAATGATGTGGAAACTTTCCCTGTCTCATTCATATAAATGTTCCACTTCAGTAGCTGAGTGACTACCCAGCCAGCTCCGTGACCACGGAGCCTGAAGTGACCCACCACCTCTTCTATGAGTGCAATTCTGATGATAAAACCACAGGGGGTGAGTGGGTGGGTGTAGAACACAAGGAGGATCTGAGTTCTGTGGGAAATACTCAGCTACTTTGGCAATGTGCAAATGCTACTTGCCTTATTACTGTGGAAATGATAAAGCAGGAGGTAGTGAAGCAAGCGTATTTCCAGGCCAAGCAGACTGTATATGTAATAGGACACAGAGTTAAGAGAGAGAGAGAGAGAGGGGGTAAAAGACTTGAACATAATGAAAAGGAGTTTGGACTTGATATTACTGGAAAGTATTTGCTATGTGGCTGAGAGGGGGGATTTTAAATGAGGCCCACCGACCCTGGGTTCTGCCCACGTGGGTTTTCTTCTTTTCCTTTTCCTTTTGCTTTTCTCTTCTTTACTTTTCTTTTGCTTTATTTTCCTTTTTCCTTTCTTTTTAAAGTAAATAATTCAAATAGATAACATGTATCCACCAGGAGGACATAACTAGCAAGTAATTTGAGGAATTTAATGTAAATATGAAAAAACTAAATTCGGATGTCAAAAACAGGGCCCTTTCAAAAAAAGTTGGGGAGCCAGGCTTGCAGAATTCAACCAAGAGTTTCAGATTAAAAGAAAAAGTTATGACGTCCAATTTCCTTCTCCTCATTCTCTGGAGAGTGTGTACTGTGAACTTTGCAAATGAGTCACCATCTGATTTGACGGAAAAGTGATTTCACTCTAACTTTTCTTCTTATCTTTAACCAGCGATAATTTATGGGATATTTGGGAGTAGGAAAAGAGAATATAGTCTCAGAAAGGGATTAGGGCAGTGTTAAACAGAAATGGAAGGGTGGATATCAGAGACAGTGGAAGAAAAGAATCAAAAAGCCTGATCTACATGTTTTGGAGAGAGTAATGGGAGGAGTCAAAGATGAGCCTAAAGATTCGAACCTAAGAGCCTGGGTTTGTTAAAGGAGGTGGGGTCTAGACTTGTAAGGATGTAGGAAGCAGGACTGGGACTAAGTGCTTTAAATGCCTTGCTATTTTACAAGTTTGTAATGAATTTTAGCAATTCTGTCTCTTATAATGGCACAATCTGCTATTGGATTGGTTAGTCATGATCTCTTGTGCTTTATTCAAGCTCATCCTTCTTCACTTCATCTCAGGAGTCTGCTGCACACAGTTTTAGGGAGGTTTTCCACGTGCCAAAGCTCAAAGCAAGGACAATAGGTTATATGAAATTCAGAAAGGCATAATAAGGAGGATTTACTTCAAAAGAGTAGAAAAGTCTGCTGAAACGCTGAGAGATTTTCTCCTAGTGTATGAATCTCTATAACCTCTAATTTCAAGGTTTAGCAATTCTAATGTTAACAAATTACAGTTCTAAGCAGGGAGGCAACAGCAGGCTTGTATTAGAGTGGAAAATTTGGTTTTAAGATGAAGGCATTACCGATAATGACAAGATGAGCACTGAAACATTTAAACATGAATCTTTTTAATCTTGGTGTGGAAAGCTAGACAAAATCCCAACAAACAAACTAGTTGTTGCTTCCTATATCTTTTTGTTGACATAGAAGAATGCAGATCTGCATTCTATCTAGATCCAATTGTTACAGATTCTGTGAGAAAAGATGACCTATCTTTTTTTACCTTTTTGGGTCTCATTTGTTTAGCTCATGGCAGGATTCTATTTTAATTTCTTTTTCTCTTGTAAACTCCTTTGGCGCACTCTGGTTAATCTCTCTCTAGCATAATTTTTGATTAATTTGAGGCTTTAAGTCGTAGGAAAGTGATTATTAAAACCTGTGATTCATTTTGAGTGGTAGTAGAATTTATAAGATATCAGTAATTGGGATTGACTTTCTCAAATGAGAAAGGGAAAGAAAAGGAGAAGTTTGTTCTGAAACAATAAAAGCCTGATTGTAGAATATATATATATATATGCATATATATTTTTTTAAGGTTTTATTTTTCCTTTTTCTCCCCAAATCCCCCCGGTACACAGTTGTATATTTTTAGTTGTGGATCCTTCTAGTTGTGGCATGTGGGATGCTGCCTCAGCATGGATTGATGAGTGGTGACTTGTCCGCGCCCAGGATCCGAACCTGCTAAACCCAGGGCTGCCGAAGCGGGACATGCGAATTTAATCACTTGGCCACGGGGCCGGCCCCTGTAGAATATAGTTTTAAGAAATGTTGTTGTCATTCTTTTCCATATATAATAATATTTGCATATAAATGTTTAAAAGAGAGCCCCTTTAGGAATTTTGCTACAGAATTAGTAGCCAGCATTGATTTACAATTTTGATTTATTATCATTATTTGTGTGACCACTGCAAGCCAGGGATATGTTTTGTATGTAAGTCATGGACTCTAATATGCATGAAAGAGTTTGTTCTCTTAGTTACACGAAGTGCTAATTTACTACACCATTAATGTACACATTTCCAGTATCCTATGACCGACTTTTGGAAAGAGCATCCCACGTATCTAGCCATCACCAAGTAAGCACGACGACAAGTTTTCATCGTTCTCCTCAACTCATCCTTCATTTTTTGAGGATTCATTGTTTAAAATTTTTAATTAGTAATACTCTATGTATTCTCTTATATAATCAAACCACCACAAAAGTGTTTTGGTAGGCAGTGAATTTTGATGTTGCAGTGGTTCGTTTGTTTGATCAGTTTATTTACCAAAGAAGCTGTCAGTGAAATCTGGAGAATGTATATGTTCATATTATATAGAATATACATACATCACTCTCTCTCCATTTAGAATTGCTGTTCATATTTAGATATCTGATCTATTTACAGTTTATCCTGGTGTATGATGTTAAGAATATGTTCAATTTTATCCTTCCATTTCACTATGCAGTTGTCCTACACTTAAAAGTGCCCCCTCTCCTGATTTCAGATGATGTATTTATCATATACTGATATTTCATATTCCTTTTAGTCTATATCTAGACATACTACATTGTTTCATTAGTCTATTTGTGCACCAATACCACACTGTTTTATTTAAAGAGGCTTCATAATATATTTCAAAATTTGATCTAGTCACCCCTCCTCCATATTGCTTTTTTTGAAACACTTTTCTGACTTTCCTTTTTAATCATTTTTATAAATAAACTAACTAATCAACTTGTAGCTTAAGAAAAACATAACGCTATTTTATTAAGATTGTTTTAAGTTTATAAATTCCTGTAGGGATAATTGACATCTTTATGACGTTGAGTATTCTAAGCCGACAATCTGATGTGACGTTCCATTCATCCAAGTCTACTTTTCATGTTTTTTCAGGAATGCTTTATAGTTTTTACTCATATAAGTTTTGCACTTCTCTTTTTAAGTTGATATTTAGGTATTTTATTTTTTGCAAAGTAAATATTGTCTACTCTTCCATTATTTTTTCTAACTAA